TCTATGGAGACAAATCAAGTATGGACGTTCGTTGACAGACCGACTAAGATGTTGAATGGTAAATCAGCTAACATAATAGATTCAAGATGGGTATTTAAGAGAAAATTAGAAGCAGATGGATCAACCAGATACAAAGCGAGACTGGTGACAAGAGGATGCAAAGACAAAAATGTGTATGATCTGAAAGAGACATATGCACCGGTTTCGAGATTATCATTGGTCAGATCTGTACTGGTAATAATAAACAAGTATAACTTATACACCTGTCAATTAGACGTGAAGACTGCATTTCTGAATGGAATTTTAGAAGAAGAAATATATATGGAAATTCCAGACGGAGTAGACGTGAATGAAAACACCAAGAAGACCAAGGTGTGTAAACTAAATAGAGCTTTATATGGATTGAAGATAAGCCCAAAAAGATGGAATAAGAGGTTTTCAGAAGAGGCCAAGAAACTCGGATTGGAGAATGATCTACATGAACCATGTCTGTTCACGTGGAGGAAAGAAGGCAAAATAGTGTTCGTACTACTTTATGTGGACGATATGTTGGTTGCGAGTAATGACCAGGAGAAATTAGAGGAAATCAAAAAGAAGCTGAGTGAAATATTTGAGACGAAGGATCTTGGAGAACCCAAGAACTTTCTGGGAATAACAATAGAGCGAAATAAAGACGAAAGATATATGTACATTCATCAAATGCGATACACTGAGAGCATATTAGAGAAGTTCCATATGAATGAATGCAAGCCTCAGAGTACTCCAATGGTCACCAGAAAAGTGAGCAACAAAAACAAAAAGAGTAAATTAGAGGAAAAGAGTACTGAAAGAGAAATTAGAAGAGTACCTTATAGAGAGGCTATAGGAAGCCTGATGTATCTGGCAAATGGTACACGACCTGACATAGCTTTTGCAGTGAATTACTTGGCAAGAAGACAGTTGGAACCCACGAAAGAAGATTGGCAAGATGTAAAGAGAGTTTTCCGATATCTTAAAGCAACTGTGAATCAAGGATTAACATTTAGAGGTAAAACAGATAATTTAGAGTCACTGACAGACGCCAGTTTTAGAGATTGCTTTGATTCTACATCCACTGGAGGATATATAATCAAATTGTTTGGAGATGTGATAGCATGGAGAAGCCATAAACAGACGTATGTTACACTCTCTACTTGTCAGGCAGAGTACTTAGCAATGAGTGAAGCCTGTCAAGAAATAATTTCGTTAGATAAGTCGCTCAGATATGTTGTTGGAAGAACATTCTTACCTACGACAATCTGGTGTGATAACAGGGCAGCGGGAAACTGCACTAAGAAGGATGGAAGTCACAAACTTAAAATGTTTGATGACAACTTAGAGGAAATAAAGAGAAATTTGGAAGAGAGAGAAGAAACAGGAAATCGAAAACATATGGCTGACACTCATGGAGATTTTATTAAGCAGTGTGTTGATCAAGGAAAGGTGACAGTCAAATGGATTGAGACCAAAGAGAATTTGGCAGACATTATGACAAAGCCTTTGCCTTTAGAGGCATTTACATACCTAAGAGACAAAATAATGAATTTAGAGTTT